ATAGCTTTATATGGTGATTCATTAATGTCTTTCATGGATTGAGCACTTGTTGCTGTGTCATTTAGGACATAGTTTCTTCAAACATTAATTGTTAATCTTTCGTGATTTGCTAAGTAAGATGTTCTTTTTTCTTGGGACAGGGACTGGTGCATGGGAAAGTGCACTTACAAACACCTTGTCTCCTGGTGATCGAATTGTATCGTTCCTGATTGGCCAATTCAGTTTGCTCTGGATTGATCAACAGCAGCGCCTTAACTTCAATGTTGACGTTGTTGAAAGTGACTGGGGTCAAGGGGCAAATCTTGATGTTTTGGCCTCAAAGATAGCAGAAGATAAAGAACATACCATTAAGGCCATTTGCATCGTGCACAATGAGACAGCAACTGGAGTGACCAACAACTTGGCCACTGTGAGAAAAATACTCGGTGAGCATACCTTTTAAATGCATATAAATAAATCTTTTTCTGCTAAATGTGGATGAATCTATGAGGTGCTAATCTATTTTCTGAATGATTTTCAGATCACTATCAGCATCCAGCACTATTTCTGGTTGATGGGGTATCCTCCATATGTGCACTTGATTTCCGCATGGATGAATGGGGTGTTGATGTGGCGCTCACAGGTTCACAGAAAGCTCTTTCTCTTCCAACTGGGATAGGAATCATCTGTGCGAGTCCCAAGGCTCTAGAAGCCACTAAAACAGCAAAATCAGTAAGAGTTTTCTTCGACTGGAACGATTACTTAAAGTTTTATAAGATGGGAACATATTGGCCATACACCCCTTCCATCCAGCTTCTATATGGGCTTAGGGCAGCTTTGGAACTCATTTTTGAGGAAGGACTTGACAATGTAATTGCAAGGCATGGCCGCCTGGCCAAAGCAACAAGGTAACCTTTTTCCTTACTATCAACAAAAATGGCTCTATATATATTGAGATTATATCCGTTTTAACACTATCTATTTTGTCAAACTTGCTTGCAGTCACTATTTAGTTAGAATGTTAGAACAAGATTATTCATATCCAATTCGTTAGTTAAGGTTTCTACTATATTTTGCCTGGAAAATGTAGACTTGCAGTCGAGGCATGGGGTTTGAAGAACTGCACCCAAAAGGAGGAATGGTTCAGTGACACAGTCACTGCTGTGGTGGTTCCACCATATATTGACAGCTCTGAAATTGTTAAAAGAGCATGGAAACGATACAACTTAAGCTTAGGTCTGGGGCTTAACAAAGTAGCTGGTAAGGTTTTCAGAATAGGGCATCTTGGAAACCTGAACGAGGTACGACTCTTGTGTTACATGTTTTTACATTGATATTTTTAATTTTGTGAAGCCAGTTTCAGAACATGACAAGAAAAGTATCGCTTAGTTCTATTTAGCAGCAAAACTCTAATTCTTGTTTTTCATGAATTCATACTTATTTTGAAAATATACACAGAGATTCACAAATGATACAAGGTTGTTTGTTACTCCATCCCAAATTGTGACAGTAGGAATGTTATGACAAAATATTTATATCATGTTTGGTTATGTAAACTTTAACAAACACTTGACATTTTAAGGATGATAAAAAGGTTAAAATCACTATCTAGTACTACGTACCGAATGTGTCTTACTTTTTATTGTAATGAATCTGATTATGAAGTTGTTCTTGGATAAAATCCAACTTACCATTCTCAGGATGTTTACACTGAATAAGCTATACATGGAAGCACTAGAATCCATAGGGAAAACTCGAATGCATTTTATTATAGACAAAATTTCTTTCTTTTTTCATTATTTTTCCCAAAAATTATTACATCTGTTCAATTAAAAACAATGATTATTCCTGCAGTTACAACTACTAGGCTGTCTTGCCGGAGTGGAGATGGTACTTAAGGATGTTGGTTACCCCGTGAAGCTTGGTAGCGGCGTTGCAGCTGCTTCTGGTTACTTATCCAACGCTACCCCCATAATTCCTTCAAGGATTTGATTCAAGAATTTAAACATGTAACTATTTCTCTTCTTCTCATATGGTTTTACTGTAAATATCGCACAATCCTGTCTTTGGCACTTGAGGCTATGAATTTCCATCAGTGTTGTTCATGTATCTAATCTTTGAACACAACCTTCGTTCTTCTTATTCGTATGCTTCTTTGATATTTAGAAATGATTCACATATCAGACTGGATAGAAACACTAAGCTTACGAGAAGTCTTTGTCAATGAGTTTACTTTTGTTGCATATTTTAAAAGTAACTCTAACTGTACGTTGTAGGTGAGTAAACTCTCATTATCCCTTTGTGCGTTTAATCTAAAATAGGATTGAGTTGCATTGTTCAACGTGACCTTCTTTGAATCAAGTTGTCATGTTCGATGATTTTCTTGAATTTAATTTTTCTTGTTCTTGGACTACTATCAAGTCACTCCTTTAAGTTCGTGCCAAAGAAGCGTATATGCTTTTATGTTGATTTTCAACCCCTTTAACTACTCGAGTATAGTTTATCGAAGTTTCTTTTACACGAGTTAATACATTAGTTTATAATTTAAGCCAAACAAGCAATAAGTTGACACAAAGTACTATAAGAATTTTTTTTAATCATTTACAATGTAGAAAGTAAAATATTCAGCTGAATTGTAACAAGAAAAGACTTGCCTACAAAATATTCTTTAAATTTTCAATCAAACTCAAAATTGTCGAGTCATCTTTACTTGATCCACGTGCAATCGTATTTATTGGAGTTTTTATCCCTGAAATTGACCAAATTTTTTTATTATTCGTCGAAGGTAATTATACTACTACCACAATTTTCTTATTTACTTGAATAACTATAAGTAAAATGACATAAAAAAATCATTTCTATTATATATATATATTCATTCCATGATCATCATCCATATACCGCAAAATATATAACTCCTATTTAAAGATACACATACAATAATTCATACATCAAAAGATCCAAAGATTCATACAATTGTGATGGTTATAATGCCATCTCGTAGCATTTGTAAAAACTAATTCTACAAATGAAGAAAAATAGCTCAATCTTTTCAATACCAATAACTGTAAACCCACCATTACAAGAAATGATCTTTAAATCTTTATGTGAATAGCTCTTCTGCTGGCTCAGGAGCTATTATGATGATTATTACCCTCAAGAAAATCAAGAATTAATAACGTTAGTTTCAGAGATGGATCTAGGGAAAGGTCGGACTGTGCTACAATTCATCCCTCTAGTTCAAATGTTAATGGAAAAAAAAAAGTAAATTATTTTTATGTGTGATTTATTTATTTATTTATTTTGTATTAGCCCGTCCTGAATTTTTCTTAGATCCACCAGTTTCATTTTTAATTGAGTTAGGTATATAATTATAAAATAATTTAAGTGTGTTTACGAAAAGTATATTTTAATTAGAGTTTACATAAAAAGTGGTGTAAGAAATAATATTTATGGGGGACATATAATTATCCTTTTAAATTTTAATTGAATTAGAGTATAATGGTAAATTATCGTGGAGTACTTATTGAAAATACGTTTTAATTGTGGTGTGATTATAATGTAGTGTAATAAGTAAAATTTGTGGTGGTAATTACCCTTCCTCGAATAAGAACCCTTGTAAGAGACCATGAGAACAGTAATTCAACTTTCTTGAAATGGAAAGCAGAATTTGGAAGCAAAATATTGGATTAGAAAACGCTAAAAGAACGTGGAAAGTTTGCGTGAATCGTGCGTAATGGATGATCATGAGCTGAAGTTGAGGATTAGGTGGACAATTTCATGTTTGATGGCATCATCTGCTAGACATTATCTGATACAAGAAATCGTTAAAGAACGTGATATGATTGAGAAAATTGAGGTCACAGATGAAAGTGAACAAGGAAGGAACAAATTGAAGAGGAATTTGATGGCCAAGGATTCATTTTTCGAGTATAGGAGCAGAGTGCCTGCTTTGAGGATCAAAACGAGGTATGGAGAAAACTTGGAGTTGCATGAATCTAGGGAGGTTCTGGAGGTGGTGGTGGAAGAGATGATGTAGAAGGAGAAAATGGTGGTGATTTGGTGGCAGAGGGGGCGGAGGAGGTGGTTGTGAAGAAATTGGTGGCGGCTAAGAAATCTTATCACTTAAGAAATGAATTTCTTTTACTATGCTTTTCTGTAGTTGGTTCATTTTGAGTTGGCTTCTGCATTTTCCTCTGTAAATTTCTTATTATCATTGTAAAAAATATAACTAAAAATCGCGTTTCAAAATCTAATCTGTGTGTCACCTTCATCAATGAATTTCAATATAAATTTTCAATACATCGATCAGAAAAGAAATCGGTTTCTTTAGCTGAAAGTTGCAGTCTAGACGTAAAGCTCTTGGCTTCTCAAGCAAATTTCTTCAGAATAGTCCTCATCTTCCTCCTCTCCATGCGTCAAATACTCTCCATTTCCACTGAATAAACCAACTGATAATGAAGGGGATAAAGAAGTGTAACTACCTCCAACGAACTGAGATTTCTCTGCATGGAAATCAAAGCACTTCGAATTTGTAAGTGTAATTATTTATGGTAGAACGAGCAGAATCATGAATAAAGCTCTTAAAGATGAACTTCTCTTGAAGTCTTTGGTAATATGCAACAAAATGGTTCCAGAGAGCACAACAAATCCACATATTTCTGATATAATATTTCCAGCGCTTTGTCCATCCCAGTCCTGCGGTAAATTTTGTTATGGAGTGAACCATAATCGAAAACTCAGAGAGCAATAATAAATAAAAAGAAATCAGAAACAAACAAGAACATATGAACAATCGAGAAGATATTTATAAGTGTTTCGCAGTCTCTTCCATTTTTTTCTCACAATACACCTCAGATTCCTCTATATAACGTGGGAAACTATGGCGACTTAATATTAAATGTGATTGCCTAACAATAGGTGAAACTGCAGTTGAGTAAATAATTTTTGGTGATTGCTCCAAAAAACTACCTGTAAATTAGTTCCAACTTAAGAGTAAGCCAAACAACCATCTATGACCTGTCTGCCTAAAGGTCAGTTTGGCAGGACTTTTGAAAAGTGAAATGTTGTCTTTGAAACTAAGAAGCAGCTTTTGGACATGTTTGAATAATTTTCTCAAAGTACTTTCTATTGCTAGAAGAGCTCCTAGAGGTAACTTGCCTAAGGTAGTTTCCTCGTAAAGCTATTCTACAAGAAGCAGAAGCAAAAAGAAGAAATCCTGCCAAACGTGCCCTAGCCCTAAAGCATATTTATTCAGCCAGATCCGGCAAGTGAATGAATAATACATACAGTCTCTATCATATTATTGGCATCAACAGAGGTTACATCTAAAATGACAATTCAGCAGTGAAGGAAAATTAATTACAAGACTGACTCTCATTACTGGTAACATAACCCCAGTAAACAGAAATTGAAAAAGTATACATTTGTGCGGAAGATACTATAAGTGAATTGGCATTACCTTAAACATAATAATGCTGGCAACTATGGTAAGTGTAGTAAACATGACATAATATATTGGGGAAACAATTGCAGTATTGAAGGTATCCAGAGCCTGAAACATAAAAGATTTGTTGGTATACAGAAACCAAGGCATTAAAATTTAATCACAGAATAGGTTTCTTGGTATATACATTTGGGACATGAGGTCATAGGCATAAAGTCTACATACTGAGAAGATAACAAGTCATAAAAATCTTCCGTTAATTAATTGTTTGTAGCACATTATTCGGAAAAATATTTTAAGTTGCAAAATCGAAGATGAACTAAACTCTACGTGTTCATATAAGAGAAAAAAACAGAAAAGAACTACAGGAAGTTTGATTATTTTGGGTAATCGTTTCCCAAAAAAGAACTTTAGTGTAATCCTTTCAAAATAACATGGTCGTTTCCCAAAGCTATTTGAACTTTAGTGTTTCAACACCAAAAATTTTGACTCCATAGTGTAATCCTTTCAAAATAACATCACAACCCCAGTCCTCAACGTATCTGAAAATGTTCCTTAAGCATGCCCCACCCAGTCCAAAATCAGGGAAGAATCTGAATATATAAAGATCACTGGAAAAACCAAAATGAAGCAAAAACAACTATGTGAAATAAGGTAATTGAAGCTTATACCGCTTCATGAAACTTAAAAACAAAGTTGTGATAGAGAATTTTCAATGTGCATTTTTTTACCTCAGAACTGCAGGTGTAGAGGAGACAAGAATGTCACTTATACAGCAATGCAGTTCAAGAGCTTTCTGGAATGAACATGTATCATTAACTATCGTTGTTATAATAAAGATAAAAAATACTCGCCTCTCACTGACATTTTTCTTGAAGGAATTCAAGAAGGAATCTCAATTAGGATTTTCTGCAAGACAACACATCAATGTTAAATACTTGGGGAGAAGGCATATGAGGCTATCAAAATTTTTTAAAAATGCTTTTGGAATATTATAAAATATAAAGTAAGGGACGATCTGTGATTCCCTTCGAACCATGGGTTTTTAAACCACTGCTATTTAAAAGATTACATACCTTGTCAAGATAATTCATCTGTGTGATAACACAAATAGCCACAACAAACACAAAAAACCAGGTCTTTGGGTAGTTTAATTGATTATATCCTTCAAAAGTCAACTTCAGTGAAGTTCCAATAGCTTTAATGCTCATGACCTGAATTAAAAGAGCAAGTGATTAAAAAATAAAAATAAAAAATAAAACTGTAGCAGTATAAAATTTCCAGAGCCAAAAGAATTATTCAGTTTGGAAGCGATAAACAACATTCTGTTTCACACTTTCTTTAGTTATCTAAATAACACATGACTGTAATTGAACCTAGTGATTCATATTTAGCTTGTCCATTTGTTTGTAACTTATACATGTATCTGCAATTCGTAAATGAACAGAATATGAACACTTCTTTCAGCTATTTTAATAAAGGATTGCAAGGCGAACAATACCTTGTAAACTCAGTTTATGTTTGCAAAACAATTACTATTAATTTCTATTGTAAATAGCTCGTCTCTAGGTTTGTAACTTGTACATGTTCCTTCAACTTTTGAATGGTTACATTTTTTTTCCTTCTAATATGTACTCCCCTTTCTTCATGTTATTTGACATAGTTCTCTCTTCCCGGTTGTTTCTTGAGTCACCACCCAAAAGTAGAGACACTAAGTATCGTAAGTAAATTGCTTGTAAATAATGGAGAAATATATTATACAAGCATCAGTGGAAAATTACCAAGGGAGAACCCATAAGCGAACAAATGCCAGTGAAAACAAGTACATTTGAGTGGCCACATTGAGGTGCAAAATAGAAAACGAGAATAATCACCGATCCCACATATAACAAAATTGCTGAAATTGAAGAAGTTAAATGCAGTTAGACATGAGATATTACAGTGTCAGCATGTTTTGGTGTTGTTAGGATCTTCCTCAAGCTGCTCAAGATGATTTCCGGGCTCAGTTAACCTTTAAAACACCGAATCAACACCAAAACCGAAGGTCCCCGCCGCCGACCTCAAGAGTTCTACCTATGGTTGCTTTTCTTCCTTCTGCTTGTTGTTTGCTCACTCACAAAAAATGAATACCACACAGGTAAGGGTCACAAAGACACAAGCAAGAGGTAGACAAGATCAAGGAGTAGAATGCACGAAGAAGAAGAAGAAGAAGACACGGCTTCTCTCTCTCGGGTTCTTTCACAAAAACGGGACCATGGAAGGCTACAAGAGTTTCCAATATATATAGTAAACCAATGACAAACAATAAGGTAAGTCATACATATGGTAAGTGGGCTCGACTAGGGTTATGGCCCAATAGAACACCAACAAGCCACAAAGGTTTATTAGCCATCCAATAGGTAAAACAACGTTAAGTCGGGTCATCCCATTATTCGATGTTGATTTATCGTTCAGTCATTCATGTCGACTGATAAAACTGGTTTACATCATCGCCCGGGAGGTCGTTTGACAACATGATGTCTAACAACCTCCACCTTGATGTCAAAGGACCTGCAAAGAGAAAACGTTTTCCATTAGTGATACCTCTAACAGAAAACCGATAAAATTGGAAATCATATACTTGTACCGATGTTTAGAAGCTCCTTGCAACTTCTAAACTTTACCAGTGGCAGCACTTTCGTGCCCATATCCGAAGGATTATATTGTATGTGAATTTTTTCAAGTCTTACTACTTCTTGTGATATTATATCCCTAATGAAGTGTAGCCTAACATCGATATGTTTAGTGCGTTCGTGAAAAACAGGATTCTTACACAGATGTATAGATGACTGACTATCAAAATACATAACCACATACTCATTCAAGACACTTAGTTCATGAAGTAGACCTCTAAGCCATAGAGCCTCTTTAATTGCTTCGGTGGTGGCAATATATTCTGACTCTGTAGTGGATAGTGCAACTATGTGTTGTAACTGTGATTTCCAACTAACACACGAATTTGATAAGAGGAAGTTGATTTCCTACCATCCCTATCTCCTGCATAGTCAGCATCTACAAAATCCTTTAATTTCACGCCTTCCTTATTAGCACTAAATTTTAGACCTACGTCACTTGTACCCTTCAAATATCTTAAAAGCTACTTTAATGCTTCCCAATGTTCAGGACCTGGATTAGACATGTACCTATTGAGAGTACTAACAGCGAATCCTAAGTCCGGTCTGGTGTAAACCATCAAATACATTATGGAACCAATCACATTTAAGTATGGAATTTTACTCATGTATTCCACTTCACGTTCATTGCAGGAAGCTTGTTCTTTAGATAGAACAAAATGGTTTGCAAAAGGCAACGTGACAGGTTTGCAGTCACTCATATTAAACCTTTTCAACACCTTTGATATGCATGGAGACTGATGCAAGAATACGATGGAATTTGACCTATTTCGTTCTATTTCCATGCCTAGAATTCTTTTAGCCTTTCCTAGGTCTTTCATGTCAAATTCTCCACTAAGGTCTGCTTTTATATTGTTTATCCACTTAGGAGATGATCCAACTAAAAGCATGTCGTCCACATAGATCAACAAGAACAAATAATTGTTATTAGTCTCGTTGTGTTGAAAGTATAGGCAGTGATCGAATTTACTTCTTTGAAATCCTATAGTGATAGGAATCAAACATCTTGTACCACTGTCTAGGTGATTGCTTTAGACCGTATAGGGATCTCTTCAGAAAACACATATAATCAGGTTTTAACTTGTCTTTAAAACCTTTTGGTTGATTCATAAAGATTTGTTCATCAAGTTCTCCATGTAAAAAAGCGATTTTTACATCGAGTTGTTCACGTTCCCAGTCAAAGAGCGCAACCAATACGAGCATGACCCTAATAGTAGTGTACTTGACAACTGGTGAGAAATCTCGTTATAATCAACACCTTCTTTCTGTGTGTAACCCTTCGTTACTAACCTAGCCTTAAATCTTAAGGGTTCTGTACTACTAGTACCTTCCTTAACCTTAAAGACCCACTTGCAATCAACGATTGATTTATTCTTAGGTCTCGATACTAACTCCCAAGTTTGATTCTTTTCTAGAGAACTCATCTCTTCTTTCATAGCTTTAAGCCACTCCTTAGATTGACCACTATTCATAGCCTCTTCAAAAGTTTTCGGCTCCCTATCAACTAGTTTTTCGTAACTAGCGTATGCAAAATCCAATTCAGATTCAAACCCGAACCTCCTAGGTTCTCTCGTTTGTCTTCTCTCATTATCCCTAACTAAATTATAGTTAGCTAATGGATTTTCTTCCTCAGGATGCTCTTCTATCACTACTTCATTTTCCTCTTCA